AGTAAGTACCGGCCCGTCACGTGCTAGCCGCCCCCAGATTGGGTTTGGCTGGCAGCACATGGATCTTCCCCAGACTGCGACCTTGTGCGGCTCCTCCACTGGGCTTGCAAAAGGGGCTGCAAACCCCCCTTCCTGTTTTGCCCAGTCCCTGCCACTCTCCTGCCGGTTTTCCTCTCCCTTGTTGCTCTTGCCGTGCTCCAGTCAAGGCGCACTTTGTACCGTATACGCCGGCTCTCAGCTTCCTTTCTGTACCTGTGGGTTTTCCCACACAGACTCAGCTCTCAACGGGCTGCGGGGCCACGTGCGTGCAAGCGCGTGCTGGGAGGGCGACCACGAGCCGCGACCCGAGGCCTCCGGGCTCCCTGCGCTTTCCCAGAGGCTGGAGATGGTTATTGGCTGTCCCCACAGGCATTTCAGGTGTTAACACACTTGGTGCTGCCCCAGTCTACAGCACACATACGTCCGTACTGGGAATCGGTTACACATCCAGAAAAATGAAAATGACACACATCTTCCAAAATTCCAACCCATGGCGGAAAATTTTCCACTTTCCTAATACTGATTGCGGGTGAAAAGAAAAAATATCTGAAGTTGGTTGCCGCAGACTTCAGTCGTTAAGCAAAAGTGAAATGGAATTTTCTAAATTGTCATCTTTTTACAATACAGCTGACAGTTGTACACGTATCCAGGATTTGCCTCAGACACCACTCTGACTAGCATTCCCTATTTGTATTTTTGTTGAGATTAAAAACCGAATATATATTATATATATTTCATTTACATTGCATCATTACATCACTATCTGTCTCACTGTCACTAATAAGTTCACTGGATTTACCTTCGACCTCAGAAATCTCATCAGCATATATTTCTTCATTTTCCATAATTAAGGTAAATTATTTGAAATAGTAAAGTCCTGAAATATCAAAATACAAGTATACAACACTAACCGCAACAAAATAATGACCAATTTGCAACTTTTACCAATTACGTAAATCAATAACAACATTACACAGTCGATATCAGATAATTATCACAATTAACTTTCTCCTTGGCTCACTATTCATTTTCAAGGAAAATAGAATAACACATACATATGATGACGTTGCAGCATTTGGAAACAGAATTTGCAAAAACGTAAATTCACATCAGTGGCAACCAGGAACAGAATTTGGAATGATGTAAATTCATGTCAGCGGTTGTGAATGAGTTAAAACATCTTTTAAAACTAATTTTTCACCCGGGCACTGTGGTTCATGCCTGTAATCCCAGCACTTTGGGAAGCTGAGGCAGGCCCAGGAGCTCAAGACCAGCCTGGGCAATGTAGCAAGACTCCATGGCTACAAAAAACTTTTAAAAGGCCGGGGTGGTGGCTCAAGCCTGTAATCCCAGCACTTTAGGAGGCCAAGGAGAGGGAACTGCCTGAGCCCATGGGTTCGAGTTCAGCCTGGGTAACTTGGTGAGATCTCATCTCTACAATAAATCAAAAAATTAGCCAAGCGTAGTGGCACATGCCTGTAGTTCCAGCTACTTGGAAGGCTGAGGTGGAAGGATCGCCTGAACCCAGCAGGTAGAGGCTGTGGTAGCCGTGAGTATGCCACTGCACTCCAGCTGGGCAACAGAGTGAGACTCCTACTCAAAACAAAAACCCCCAAAATTAGCTGGGCGTGATGGCACATGCCTGTAGTCTTAGCTACCCAGGAGGCTGAGACAGGAGTATCACTTGTGTCAAGGATGTCATCACAGCCGTCGCGTGTAGGCATGGCTCCATTTCAAAACTGGACGATACAATTTGGTCTCTTCATGAGGTCCTGACCCGAGTTTGGGGTTATGTATGGCTATTGGCATTACCCAACTCGTCATTACACAGATGATACTGTATTCAGGCTGCAGAGCTTCAAAACAATTCTCTTGCTGTTTCCCAACATTGCACCTCAATCCTGGCAACCTCCAGTCAAAGTTCTTGATACAGTTATTACATTCTCTAAATGCACCCTCCCACCTCTGCATTTTGTTTTGTCTGTCAAGCCTCTTTTTTTTTTTTTGAGTTGGAGTGTCACTGTTGCCCTGCTGGAGTGCAGTGGCACACTCACAGCCACCACAGCCTCTACCTGCTGCGCTCAGGTGATCCTTCGGCTTCAGTCTTCCAAGTAGTTGGAAGTACAGGCGTGCCACCACGCCTGGCTAATTTTTAAAAATTTATTGTAGAGACGCGATCTCGCCAAATTACCCAGACTGTTCTCGAACCCCGGGTTTCAGGCAATCCTCTCGCCTTGGCCTCTCAAAGTGCTGAGATTACAGGCATGAGCCACCGTGCCCAGCCAAGCCTCTTTATGAACTCACTGGAATCGCACTGCCATAGCCGCTGAGGAAAACGTTTACCAAAAAATATTTTCAGGCCAAGCGCAGTGACTTAGCCTGTAATCCCAGCATTTTGACAAGAATTCGTCTCTACAATTAAAAAAAAAAAATTAGCCGGGCATGGTAGTGGACGCACCTGTAGTTCGACTGCTTGGAAGGCTGAGGCAGAAGGATCGCCGGAACCCAGTAGGTTGACACTAGGGTGACCGTGAGTATGCCACGGCACTCCAGGCTGGGAGACAGAGTGAGACTCCAACTAAAAAAAAGAAAAAATTGGCTGGGCTCGGTGGCTCAGCCTGTAATCCCCCACCTTTGGGAGGCTGAGGTGAGTGGATTGCCTGAGCCCACAGGCTCAAGACCCGCTTGGGCAACTTGGCAAGACCTCATCTCTACAAAAAAATAAAAAATGAGCTGGGCATGGTAGCGCACGCCTGTAGTACCAGTTACTTGAAAGGCTGAGGCGGAAATATTGCTGGAGCCCAGCAGGTCGAGGCTGTGATGGCCGGGAGCAGCCACTGCACTCCAGCCTGGGTGACAGAGTGAGACTCCAACTCAAAAAAAAAAAAAAAATTTTTTTTTCAAACCATCCCCCTGCACTGGGGCTAAAATGGCATAAAAGCAGCCCTTCTCCCTATCCCACTTTCCAAAAAATAAAATCAAGTTGATGGGTAAAATGCTCTCCATGTGAAAATTTCCTGTGATTTTTTTATTATTTATTTATTTAGAGACTATGTCTTGCTATGCTGCCCAGGCTGGTCTTGGACTCCAGGGCTCAAGCAATCCTCCTGCCTCAGCCTCCCAAAGTGCTGGGATTACAGGCATGAACCACTGCACCTGGCTTCCCCCCATGGTCTTAAACAGAGTTTTCTCCTACTTGCCAACCTGTGAAAAGTAAATCATTAAGTAGTAACAAAATACTAGAACCAGTCAGTTATGCTCAGAGTGGCAGCTGTTGGCCACACCTGCATCTGTGTGATTTGATGCTGCTCATCATCGTTCTGCCTGTAAACACATTCACTACTAGAGTGGAATCACGAAGCTACTGAGGCAGCTCCTGCATTCTTGGTGTCCCACCACCTCAGAGCCACAGGGATGCAGGAACTAATAGGTGAGTGATAATGTCCAAATTCTTCCAGAGATTTTTTTTTCAGATTAGAAAATGTAGCTTATTTAAAAGGTGAATTAGAAAGAGAGTGAGAAAGAGGAGATTCACCTCCCCAAGGCAGGGAAGGGGGCCAAAGCCAAGAAGCATGGCGACAGTCAGTTCAAAGAGCACATGGCCACACCAGAGTCTGGTAAGGCAATGGCCCTTCCAGAGATATTATTTAAAATTTTTTAAAGTTGTTTTGTGTTCCTCAGCACTTGCAGACCAGATACAAGAATATTTATTTCTGAAGTGACTCCCAGGAGAAGTCAATGTTCAACCCAAAGGAATAAAGCAAGAATGTGAACTATCAGGCATTTTTTGTTGTTGTTCATGGGAGACTTGAATCGTATCAAAGTTAGTCCTAGTTAGATTGTTAATTGCAAATGAGCCAGGGGAGATTAAAAACAGAAAACCAATCAGCCAAACAAGTAAAAGTAGCCAAGAAAGGTAAGACATTTTATTTTACATACAAAAAGGGTGCAAACCGAGTCCTTTCCTCCCCAAATTGAGGAAGAGGTATACTTAAAGATCACATTTGTGTTTTCAAGAGTGCCCTAGGAAATGGGCTACTTTGAGACAGCATATCAGAACCCATTTTCTATTTTCTCCAAAGAAGGCTACTGCCTCGGCAGAGTTGTTTTTCCTAATGGTGTACAAATATCTCTCCTGGAGGAACCATTTCAAATACACTTAAAATTGACATTCATGTTTAAAAATACTACAAATTTCATTTTCACAGCTGAGCTTTGTGACCAGTGCCAGGGTTTATGAAACATTACATATCTAAAAAAAAAAAAAAAAAAAAAAAGGTAAAAAAAGAGGCATTTAACAATAATCAGATACATCCACACACCTATTAAAACTGATTTCCACAGCTGATTTATACATAATCTAGTTTTTAAAAAAATCG